TAAATAAAATAAAACTAAAATGGATTGCACGGTTGGCATAGTGGTTAAGCTGCTGGCCGCTGTGGTCCAGGTTCGATTCCTGGACACGGACCATATGTGAGTTTGAGTTTGTTTGATGTGTTTTTCTCTCCCTTCCCACGAGGGTTTTTCTCCGGGKCCTCCGGTTTTCCTCCCTCAGTAAAAATCAACATGTGAGGAGTGTTGTGTGCTAAAGTACTTCATGCAGAGGTAGTGGAGAGTGAGTATGAGGGCCACAAGTTAATCAGTTCTTCACTTTCTCGTGTAACACTCTTAAAAATAGTTGATTGACTGAGTTTAGTTAATTAAGGTTGAAGAAAATAGGAAACCTTTAATAGTTTCCTTTAATTTTTTTGTTTTCGTTTTTCGTTTTTGTTTTTCATTTTGTGCCCATAGTCAAAACAAATATGTATAAAGTTGAGTAACAAAAAGTAATACGAAAAGTTCAAGTGAAGAACTAAGAATGGTTCAAGAGGGTTAACATAAGATGAATTGTCAAATATAGAGTTTGGGAATTACGAAAAGAGGGCAACCGGCTGCGTCTTGAAATACGCTTATTTCACTTTCGGATCATGGCATCATACAGTGTCAGTGTACGCTATATTGTCATAAACTGCAAGACATAGGAACTATATATCAAATCTAGCATGATTGTCGGTGGATTTTATCTTGAAGATTTTGAAAGGGAAATGGACAAGACTTTAGAAGGTGGTGAGTTCGACGAAATAACAGATTTCATTACACCTTATAACCTGATGAAGTGCAAAACAAACAGCCTGGAAAAGTCTTTGGAGGTATTTTTAGAAAACGGTACCAAAAATGTCAATCAAGTTGTGGACTCATATTTACGTATACGCTGGTGTCTTTTTCAAAGAATGACGCACGTGTGATATTGCAATTGTACTTGTTAGGAACCATGCTAAGACTAGTTTTTTGTCTAAATTCACTGATGCGGGTTTGCATACATAGTCGAAAAGACAGTATACTTGATGCTCTCTGAATGTTCTTTAAAGAACATCAATTCAACACGTAATATCCTGTTCGTATTTACACATATTTAGGAGTCATTGTTTTCAAAGTATGCACTCTCAAATCATATCAGTTTGTGAAATGGAAACTACTTTTCCTTTCCAGGCGAGAGGAAGGGACCATTCCATTTAGATTCCATATAGAAATCCTGACAATGATCATAAACTTTTTTTTGTGTCTCATTGTTCCCCTTATTACAACCCTATTTTGCGGTCCCCTACCGCCTTTTTGTTTCAATGTTGGAGATTCGTACATGAATGTCCTGTGTAAAACAAACTTTTCATTATGAAATCAACATTAATTAGGGGGAAGGGGATGAAGGGAGACGCTACAGCGAAGAAGCATGAAAAATTGAAATTTTGTACAGTTGTCACAAACATTTTGTCCTTGATTGTAGGACAGGGAAATCATTTATATTTTACTATTTTATCTGGTATGTAATCAATTTTTGAAGGGGGTATGTAATGCTTTAGGTTAGTCACAAGCTCAAGTCTTTAGCCGATAGGGGTGGACCTGACTCTGATGACTTTGAAAATCTGGCAAACACAGTCGAAGATTTTGCAATTGAGCTTCTTGAGCCTTTGAAACGCGATGACATAAGGAGAGCTATCTTTGAAGGAGATAGCTTTGACCGAATTGCTGAAAAAATCGTTGTCTTTCGTCAGAAAAAGGTTTGAACTGATTCTTCATTCAGCATTTCATTTGATGATAAATGATTTCACATGCATGACTGGTGAGCTATTCGAATTGTTTCAGGTAGTGTTCCATATTAGGAAATGTCACATAGATACATAACTGATGAAAATCTGTTGAGGGTGTCAGGTGTACCAATAGACACACCTTGGTAGTTATTGATCCTCTATAGTCGGGAATGTATAATAATTTTATTTCTTTGTGTACTATTTTTAATATTAGTTCGTGTCTCATCCCGTTGTATACAATCTTCTAATGAGGCAATGGGCAGGAATGTTTTATCATCTGAGATACAGCTCGTTGACATCTTTAAACTGGTTCAAATGGTTTTTATTGAACCTTTGGACCGTCTTTGACCTTGTTCTCTTTCCGTTGACGTTTGCGATTCTGTATGTTATTCATCGGATCAAAAGAATTATGAAACACCGGCAAGGTAGGTGTGTTTTTAAGCACTCCTTGAAATAAGAAACTTTCATCATTATTATTTTTTCTTTCGTATTATTAGATCACGGCGTTGTACTGATACTTAATTCTACTTGGAATAAAGAATACCTTCAGAAAATGCGGAATTTGAGCAGCAACATACTTGGCGAATGTGATCAAAATCACATCAAGTTCGCTTCTATCTTGCGTCACAAAGATGGCATCATAACTAACACCTTTATGGCAAAAGACAAGGCCAGGTCTGAAGTAAAGAAGAGAACTTGCAAAATAGCAACAGATAACAACACATTGCAGTCATGCCTGGAGAATGGAAAAGAGATGCTTAAAAAATTCAAAGCGCGAAATTCAAATAAGGTACATTCAAATTTGCTACACCTATGTAAAAGTATATTTTTCATAATTTATATTAGGGAGATTCAAAGTGGAGACGCTGTATAATTTAACTACTGGTGGTCATCATCTATTCGGTTGATGCAGATCCCGGAAGGGGCTCCTGTAGGCAGTAGACATGCTCTTTTCCAAATGGCTCCAAACTCTAATACGGAAGCTTGAATCTAATTCTTTATTGACGCTTGTTATTATTGATGGGAAGGGACCTGTTTCCCTTTTGGAAGCTTTTTTTTTACTGTTAGTGTGGCTTAAAGCAGCAGGATATGTGATCGTCTTATTTACTTCCCAGCAAGTAGCATGATTTTATAGTAAAGCAGTTGCCTTGTAGAAAAGTGTACCATCAAGAATAGCTGACATACACAAGTACATTTATGGCAGATTCACTGGAAGAAAATCGCGCACCGTAAAGGTTTATCACGCTGGGAAATTTCACAGTCAAATGTGGCCAAGTTGAGTCCATAATATGTTGGTCAGCTGTAACACCCCACACTTAGCATAATACAACAATGAAACTATGAAACAATTAAAGTTTTTTTTATAAACGTTTGGAACGAAAAAGTAATCATAAAGAGAAAGA